TTACCTTGTGGAAGACAAGTTACTAAACCCTGCTTTTGCATCACTGAAGGTGATCTATTGACAAAATAGACAAAATTTAATGAGTTAACCAGAAATTTGCTTAGACGTTCCAAAAGAATTTTAAAAATTGTGCAGTAAAACCATCTGGGCCTGGGCTTTTTTAATTTTTAATTTTCTTTAGAGCTATGAGCATTTCTTCATATGAAATTTCCCTTTCCAAAGTTAATGAAATTTATTCATCAAGTTTTGGTATATTTTCTTCCCAAAATAGCTGTTCTAGATTAATTTGTGTAAATTCATCACTAGAATAGAGTTTCTTCTAATATTTCCTTCTTATTTTTATTTATTGATCCATCCTGTCATTGTAGTTCAATTTTCAACTTTTGGAGAAAGTTTCTAAATTCTAAATGTTGAAAATATCTACTTGTTTTTTCCCTATGCTCAATGAATACAGTAAGTGAATGAGCAGCCCCTTTATATTTACCTTAGGCCAACTTTACATGATTAATATATATTAGAACATCTTTCTGGGATTCAATGTTTTATTCTTTGTCTGTTTCTTCTTACAGAGTTTCAAGCTTGTTTCCCAAGGCTTTTCTTTTATCTTGATGAATACAGAATTGTTATTCCTCTAATTTCCAACAAAAACATCTCCCACAAAAGTTGAGATTGTCTAGGTTGGGATTACTCTCATATGTTTCAAGTGTAGTGTTTATTGTCTTTTTTATAAGTGCTATACAGTCAAGTCTCGTTAATACGACATCGTTGGTTGCACATGATTGTGTCGGATTAACGAAATTAAGTGATTTGTGATCGAAAATCGGACGTCTTCACGATAGATAATAACCGTGTGTACCTTGTAATAAAATCATTAAAAATGAAATATTAATATTGTTATGTTGTTTATTCATTCATTCCTTAATTTATAATTAATGACTGTGCAAATATAATAATAATTTTCCCATTTATACATAACAATAGAGACATTACTCACTGAATTTATCACATGATCAACGACACACGTTTCCTCTTGTAAATGCAAGTGCTACTGTCTTAACAACTTGCTTCATCTACTTAAAATAGTCTGTCAGTGTTTTCTGTTTCTAACATTTTGAAGGCACATTTATCAAAGTCCCCTGCTCGCTTGACGTCTAGGGCTTGTGGTTCTTCAGCATCAACATTGTCGAGGTGTAATTTCATTTGCTGTTTCTTATAATAAAGCTTGAAATTCTTTATGATCCCGGCATCTAGTGGCTGAATGTGCGATGTGGTGTTTGGTGGCAAAAAGTGACATTTCACATTAGTTATGTTGACAGTAGCATGGGATGGGGCGTTGTCCAACAGCAATACCACGTGGCGTTGCTCCAATTGCATTTGCCGATCCAAGATCAGTAGCCAGGCTTTGAATATTAATGAAGTCATCCATGCTTTCTTGTTTACATACCAGTCGACCATGTTTTATATACCTGTTCGTATTTTAAACTGGCTTCATGCACATTTATCTGGCTTCAATTTGTAAACTACATTTGTATAGCTTTGTACATACAGGTTTGAATAGCTTTTCCTGTTAATTGTTAAGTTAATCTCTGCAGCCAGTGCGTGTCAAAACACGGGGTTGTGTACTCGCGGGCAGATGACCAGGGAGTACGCTGATCACTGTGTCGGATTAACGAGACTGATTAATGAGTGATTTCGGCAATTCGTTGCAAATTAGGTGTGTCGGAGTCGGAGTGCGAGAATGTCGGATTAACGGGACTAAATAGCACTGATTCAATCGGTTCCCATCATTTGTGTCGGATAAAGCCGAGTGTCGGATTAACGAGTGTTGGATTAACGAGACTTGACTGTATATGCTTGGTCGTGAAGAAGTGAATTGTTAATCTTCCCAAAACCTTTACCTTTTTGTGGATCTGATTGTGCTATTTCAATGGAAATTGCTAAATGATCAGAATTTGAACTGGACAAAATGTTTGTTTCCATAACAGAATTCATAGTGTTAGAAGGAACAAGAAAAAAGTCTAAGTGTGTTTGTTTTAAGGATTTGGTTGCCGCCAGGTGTAACGTCCATGCTGAGGGGGAGATTCTCTCCATGGATCTTTTAAGTCTGATAGGTTAGTAATTGCAATTCTTGTTGAGATTTAGGATGGTTTACATGCTGACATGTTTATAGTTGAGGGTATCTTCACTAAGTTCCTGTCCCCTCAGAGAATGATTCTTTCGCTGTCTAAAATGTCAACCTTTTCATTTATTTTTGTAAAATAATATGGTTTATCGCTATTTGAACCATATACATTTATTATTGAATAGATATAATCTTTACTTTAATTCCTGCTTCAACAACTGTTTGAACTCAATATTATTATTAAACAGAATGGCCATTCCTCTTGCATTACTTTTAAACGGGCTTATATAACATTCAGTGTATCCCCATTGTTGTTTAATTGATTGTTCCTGTTCTTTTGTGAAAAGAACATCTGGAATGCAAAATATTTGAGCTCTTTTCTTGTTGCTGTATTGTTAGGACCACTACAATTAAGGAGTAATATCTTCAAGTTTTGATTATCTAAACCGTGATTCCTTATGTCCAGCATAATGTTTTACACAGTGTTGCGCAGTGGAACTGAATATTTGAGCGTGGTTTAACTTAAAATGAAAACTAATCGTAAATTTGAATGACTTACCTTTTTTGAATGAAACAATGAACTAAACGTGATAACCTATTATAAAACTATGAAGATCTATAAGGAACTAAACGTGATTACCTGTTATTATGTTAAGAAAAGATGAATCAACCTCAAATGTAAGAAACTACATGTAATGCTAATTCTAACAGTTACTCCTAAGGGAGTCTTAACGCTGTCTAACGCCATGTCTAACGCCATGTCTCTAACCATCTAACACCATCTAACACCATCCCTCTAACGAACTCTGACCAAGTAACTAACTGATGCGCGCTACCGCCTTATATTTGCTCACAACCCTAACATTTCACGTGCAGTCACAGCCATACGTTGGTGTGTTCAGGCGATGCGATCGTTCCTTGCATGTGTGGTGGGTCTACGGTACTGTCTGTAGCTTCAAGGGTATGACAGATCTGTACCTGGTATGGAAAGTTTTTGGATATTATTGTACCAAAAAATAAGCATGAAAAGAGTAGCACTATGTTCACTTCCAGTTAGTATGAACAACAATATGAAAGCTTTGGACACCTCTTATTGAAAATAAAAAAGTATGGCCTAATCATAAATGCAACTGTACACCAAGATGACATACGTGGTACGGGGATGCAGACCCTCAGACTCAGGGTGTTCTTCTTGTTGCTATACTACCATTGTACAACATTTATACATAGTTTTCATATAATAAATAGATCCACAGCAAGTGCTTTTATAAGTTATCAGGATACGACATTTATACAAAATTTTGTATCATTATAGAACAGGAAGTAATACATATTAGGATCCAGGAAAAATGCAGATACAAAATTGTTGTTGCTGCAGATACAAAATATTAGTAGTTTCACTTACAGCTTTTTTGATACATTCTAGCCTGAGGTAATGGGAACCCATCTCCCAGACATACTATTCAATAAGACAAAAGTCCTATATTAGAATAACATTCAGCAAATACTTCAATTTAGATTCATTAAGGATTAGCCCCATACAAGCTATATTGTAAACTAACGGGCAAAAGAAAGTTTTCACTTTAAAAATAGTTGTATAAAAAGCAAAAAAGCCAGTACAGGTTTCAACCCCCGCAGAAAACATAAGCCAAAATGCAATGTCATGGAAGAAAACAGTAAAGCAAAATGCATGTGCAACTTATGGCATTCATAATTCGTGGTAGTGGCTATAAAAAGGCACGCATAAGCCAATAATTTGTCATTCAATTGTCAACATTTTCCATGTTCGAAAATCCTGAGAATCAGCACTGCCGATCGGAACATGGCCTAAGGACATATCCAAAGAGGGGAATCGCAGTCTTCTGTTGCACGCCACTTCAACGTCCACCACAGCACCATTTGCCATCTTTGGGACCGATACACACACTTCAATTCCACTGCAGACCATCCAAGAACCGGCTGACCAAGAGTTACCTCCCCTGCACAGGATCACTACATTCGACTGTTCCACCTATGTCATCGCAATGCCACAGCTACGGAGACTGCAGGATGCATCCCTGGTTTGAGGAGGATATTGGACCAGACTGTCAGGACCCTCATCTTCGCGAGGCTGGAATCCGATCCAGAAGACCAGTTATCGTCCCTGTTCCAACAGTTCCATCGACAGCGACACTTAAGTTGGTGCCAAATCTTACAGCCTTGGAATTTGAGAAACTGGAGACTAGTGTGGTTTAGCGATGAATCACAATTTCTTTTTCACCGACGAGATGGAAGACAAGGTGTTTATCGTTGAAATGAGCGTTTTGCCCCACATTGTATATTCAAATCGCTACATGAATAAAATTCTTCAATGTCATCTTCTTCCAATCATTGTCCAGAGGGAGCTGTTTCAACAGGACAGCACTCCACCGTACACAGCTCGGGTCATGGTAGACTACCTTCATAATGCCAACATCAACGACTTGCCCTGGACGTCAAGATCTTCAGGTCTCAACCCATTCGAACACCTCTGGGATGAACTCGATCGTCAGACAATGTTAACGTAAGGACATGCCGCAGACACTCACACAACTGGCCAACGCTTTTACAAGCAGCATGGCACAGAATTCCGCAGGAAAGAATTCGTACACCTATCCAGTCAGTGCTGAGGAGATGCAGAGCCGTGTTTGCTGCCCGGGACAGTCACACAAGGTACTGAGTTCAGAGCAACATTGTGCTCATGGATGATCCCATGGGAGACAGTCTGACTGACCACTTGTATCCCTCTCTAGTGCTCCTGGATCAGCTTCTGCAAGTCAACTTAAGGTAGATTTGTATTGTTTACTATCAAATGTATGTGATGTGATATTCTAAACTTAAGGCAAGTTTTGTGTTACAGGGATTTCCCCACTGGCTGACTTGGACAGGCTCAGGTTGAACAACAACAAATGAACATTGCAGCTTTGAATGGTTGGATCACCAGTAGGATGAGGAGACAAAGAACATGAAAGAAAAAGTGGAGACCATCAAGGGTAAAACGGGAAAACTGAAAGACCGATTGAAGTATTACACTGGCATTACATGCATAACGGTTGTATTTCCAGATGATGGGAGATTTGCCATAACCTATTATGTTTATAATTCCTTTTAAAAAAAGAAAGTAAAATATCCTTAAATATTCCAAGTCCATCGGTAGTCAGATACTTTATTCCAGTATTTTACTCATCAAGGAATACATTAATGTAGGGAGGCCCTTTCCCAGGTTGATTGTACACAACTGTTAATTATCCCCCGCCACGAAGTGGAAGGGGGATATAAGAATGCGTGCCGTCCGTCCGTCCTTCCGTCCGTCCTTCCGGCCGTCCGTCACATTTTGTTTCCGGAGCAGATCTTGAAAACCGTACCATATTTCTTCACCAAACTTGGCACATAGATAGATCTAGTGGTGAACTGGTGCCTTTTGATAGTTCTGGATTTTAAAAAAGTTGTTTTTCGAGTTTCCATGGCAACGACTTTGATTTAGACTGAAAATGGCGGTAGTTCTCGTTTCCGGAGCAGATCTTGAAAACTATCATATTTCTTCATCAAACTTGGCACATAGATATATCTAGTGGTGAACTGGTGCCTTTTGATAGTTTGGGATTTTACAAAAAGTTATTTTCGAGTTTCCATGGCAACGACTTTGATTTAGACTGAAAATGGCGGTAGTCGTCGTTTCCGGAGCAGATCTTGAAAACTATCATATTTCTTCATCAAACTTGGCACATAGATAGATCTAGTGGTGAACTGGTGCCCTTCTGATAGTTTGGGATTTTAAAAAAAGTTATTTTTCGAGTTTCCATGGCAACGACTTTGATTTAGACTGAAAATGGTGGTAGTCCTCGTTTCCGGAGCAGATCTTGAAAAACATACTATATTTCTTTACAAAAAGGCCCAGTGAACATAGTTCACAGGAGCTAATGCATTGCACACACCCGACATGTCATATTGGCGGGGGATGTGAGTATTTCATGCTTGTTTGGTTACGTACTAGTTTCAACAACAACAACAACAAAAATAAAAAAAATACACTGCCTGCCTGACCGCACTCTATTTGCAAAACCCATTGCCTGAGAAGAAATTCATTTATTTTGCCTTGAAGCACAACTTTGTTTTCAAAGATATATCTGTGATGCCAGTCTTTAATGCCTGGGTGGAACACATGTACTTCAAACTAGGCCACACAGAGACACCAACATTTCTAACATGACTGGAGAATACAAAGAAGATTTTCCAATGTCTGTTGTTATTACAGTCATGCCCTGCTTATACGGACTTCAGATATCCGGAAACCTCAGTTCCCGGACGATTTTCATTCAAAACGAAATAATTACTATATAAATTTATATATATATATATTCCGTATATAAGGAAATTCAGTTTCCGGAACCGGATGGTCATTTGTATACGCAAAACACTGAAATGCACACAAAATTGTCTCACTTACCCGGACAATACACTTCCACTGGTGGTAATCCTTCCGCTGGTGGTAATCCTTTGATTCGTGAGAAGTCAATTAACCAAGTGACACTGAGTTACGTTTGAGACGAGCTTGTTTATTGTCCCCCGCCGCGCAAAAGCGCGAAGAGGGGGATATAGTATTCACGACCGTCCGTCCGTCCGTACGTCTGTACGTCCGTCCGTACGTCCCACCTGTTTGTTGCCGCGATATCTCAAGAACTAAGCACTGGATTGTCTTCATATTTGGAACTATGGTGTATATACAGACACCGCAGACACCAGTCGGTTTTGGTGACCTTGACCCCATTTTCAAGGTCACAGCAGGCAAATCTGCTTTTGGAGTTGGAAAACGGTGTTGCCTCGATATCTCAAGAACTAAACACTGGATTGTCTTCATATTTGGAACTATGGTGTATATACAGACTCCGCAGACACCAATCGTTTTTTTTGGTGACCTTGACCCCATTTTCAAGGTCACAGCAGGCAAATCTGCTTTTGGAGTTGGAAAACGGTGTTGCCGCAATATCTCAAGAACTCATCGCTGGATTGTCTTATATTTGGTACTATGGTGTATATACAGGCGGGGGACATTTCGTCACTTTGTGACAAATACTTGTTGTACATGTAATCCCATTCGATAAATATGGCGTCTGTGGAGGTCAGAGGTCAAAGTTGTGACTTCAAACTGTGAGTATGGCCTGTCAACCAGCGAAACGTAAGCAACACGCAGTTACAGCACGCGAAAAAAGGGAAATTTGTCTGTTTAAGGAAAAACACCCAGTAAGCATTATGGCACTGAATTTGGACATACCATAGGAAAATCGACAATTGGTGACATTTTAAAAGACAAACAGAAGTGGCTAAATGTCCCGGAAAATTCAAATGACTTATCACGATCCCGTGTAGCAAAACACCAGAAGCTGGAAGATGCATTATATCTTTGGTTGTGTGACATGACAAGTCGTAATGTGCCCGTTAAGGATGAAATGCTGAAAGAGAAAGCTCGCGGTTTTGGTGGCAAAATGGACATTTCTGAGAAATATTACAGGAACACAGGCGATCTGGTCAATTTGGAATTATTGTTTAAAATTCAAACCTCAAAATGTGGCAAAGTTCAAACTTCCATGACAGATTTTTTGAAACGTGTATGTCTTGAATAAAGATTGAGTGGATGTATCTGTTTGCTCTGTCATCTGTCATGAGTGGCATAATTGAAGGGAAGTAACTCTTCTAGTAAGAAGCTGGTTTCAGTTATACAGAAATTCGTTTATACGGACGAATTGTGAAATGACGCAAGTGTCTGTATAAACGAGGCACGACTGTACTAATGGTACAGAGTTAAGAACTCCGATTCTGTGTGCTCTTGGACGCCGAAGTCAGCTTTATGGGGATTATAAGTCTACTACTACATTAAAATGTCTTGTTGGGTGCGATCCAAGTGGCTCCCTAATATTTGTCTCCGAGCTTGTCCCTGGTTCAGTATGAGATAAGTCAGTCACAGAACAGTCAGGTTGTTATATGTTGCAGGGTCTACTTACTCCTGGATATCTTAACAAAGGAATGAGTGAATGAGAGTGAGTTGGGTTTAATGCCGCTTTAACAGTATTCCAGTTAATCACTGCGTGTCAGCTTAATATGCAAGGAAAGCCCGAAGTGATGCAGGTGTCAGACGTTTACCACTTCGGTGAAATCAACGAGCACAGGTATGGTGCTGACCAACCTCGAAACATAATTGGGGCAAACCAGGATTCGAACCCACAATCATAGGTTTCTGGCGTGTCCAAGGGACGCAACTCTGCACAGCGAATCCGGCACCTTAGATGACTGGGCCCCCTATAGAGGATGAGCTTGTAGAATGCTTAAAGTTAAACATTCCACCTTTTGTCTATTCAGAAGTGCAAATGACAGCTGCTGAAACCCTAGTCACTAAGAAAGTTTCAGCACATAGTGTTTATATAGAACGTCTAACAGCTAGGATTAAGATATTCAAGATGGTTTCACAAAGAATACCAACATCACTATTTGGAAGAATTAATCAGAATTGGACTGTTTGTGCTTGTATGTTTTTTTTTCAAGGAATCTTTGTCACTGACAAACAACATCAGTGAGTGAGAGCTCCCAATTAAACTTTCACATTCCTAAGGTTGGCATAGACTGATTATAAAATGCACTTAGATGTCAATGTATAATTAAATCTAATTTTCAGAATTAGCTTCGACTCTCTGTATAATGACGAATTACTTCTACCAACAACAATCCAAACAGTGGTCTTTAAGTACATGTATCAGGACTCATACACATGTAAATTAATGAAACTAAATTGTTGTTAAGTAGATCTGTATATAAAATAATTAAAAAATGCCATGTATAATAGTATGATACAGCTGTAATATGGCAGAACTACCCTCGGTCATTTGATGGCCCGCAGAAAAGATACAATATTACGCTTTGGAAGGGTTAATTATCAACCCATTTAATGATGTAAGACATTCAAATTCACAGTCATTCTGAGTACTCCATAATGGCCTTGCTCTACCATTCACATTCAAGAACTAACTTTCCGAGACCCCTTATGCTATCTATGTATGGAAGATATCTGCTTCATGTAATGTTATGTGTCAGGCTTTTACATGTTGGTTAAAACATTGAGAGGCACAAAGGTTAACTTCTTAAAGTGGCATTTTGGAAGTAGGTTTGATGAACAAGGGAGATTCTATTGGTGTATAACATCTATATCACATTGTGTGTAACGTCTGTATAACATTGTGTATAACATCTGTATAACATTGTGTATAACATCTGTATCACATTGTGTATCACATCTGTATAACATTGTGTATCACATCTGTATCACATTGTGTAAAACATCTGTATCACATCTGTATCAAATTGTGTATCACATCTGTATCACATCTGTATCACATTGTGTATAACATCTGTATAACATTGTGTATAACATCTGTATCACATTGTGTATCACATCTGTATAACATTGTGTATCACATCTGTATATCATTGTGTATCACATCTGTATAACATTGTGTATAATATCTGTATAACATTGTGTATAACATCTGTATCACATTGTGTATAACATCTGTACCACATTGTGTATCACATCTGCACAACATTGTGTATCACATCTGTACCACTTTGTTTATCACATCTGTAACACATTGTGTATATAACATCTGCAACACATTGTGTATCACATCTGTATAACATTGTGTATAACATCTGTAACACATTGTGTATCACATCTGTATCACATTGTGTATAACATCTGTATCACATTGTGTATAACATCTGTACCACATTGTGTATCACATCTGTATCACATTGTGTATAACATCTGTATCACATTGTGTATAACATCTGTAACACATTGTGTATCACATCTGTATCACATTGTGTATAACATCTGTATCACATTGTGTATCACATCTGTATATCATTGTGTATAACCTCTGTATCACATTGTGTATCACATCTGTACCACATTGTGTATCACATCTGTATCACATTGTGTATAACATCTGTATCACATTGTGTATCACATCTGTATATCATTGTGTATAACCTCTGTATCACATTGTGTATCACATCTGTACCACATTGTGTATCACATCTGTATCACATTGTGTATCACATCTGTACCACATTGTGTATCACATCTGTATAACATTGTGTAACACATCTGTATCACATTGTGTATAACATCTGTATCACATTGTGTATAGCATCTGTATCACA